CATACTAGTAGAATGCGGTCGTCACCGACCTCGTCAATTCATCACTCGGCAAGGATTTTTTAAGCCATTATAAAATAAAACTCATGGAATGACCAAATGAATGATGGAGAAGAAACCTGCTCTAACATTTACATATTAGATAAAAAATATTAAAATATTTTAAAATAATTAGTAAATATTTCATACATATTACATAATAAATTATTTATTGCAAAAAATCACAAATGGGCATATAGTAAAATCTAAAAATTTATTTTTTATCGGCGAGGATTAGAGAACAACAATATTTAGCAATTTTGGTAAAATACCAAATAGACATCCGCATAGAGTCCGCAAAGGTTGCTTCGCTGGCCTCCATAATGACCACAGTTATTTTTTTGCTTTCCAGTGTTCCAATTTCTCGTTACCATTTGTTAAGCCTTCGTTATTAAAATTTTAAGATGTAGTTTCTCTAATTTTGTAAGTAATTTGTTGATTTGTGATTTTTCAAAATAGCGACACCACACACACACACACACAACACACACAAACAAACACACACACATACCAAACACACACACACACACACACATATATAATATATAAACTCAAAACATTCATAATCATGGTTATTTAAGTAAAAACATTTATCACAAAATAAGCTCCGCTAACATATTTTTGGGATATTTTGCAATATAGAAGACAGTTTAGAACAAACCACGAAAGACATTACGTGGTTTCAATCTGTGTTTGTGTTACCGAGTGAATGTTCATGTTACGCCCCGTGATAGTTTTTATTACATTTCAATATTTCAAACCATTATTTATTTTATTAAAGTTTGAATAATATACAGTTTTCCAGTTTATTCTCGAGTGTGTAGGACCTATTTCAGGACCTATTTCATTCATTTTCAGCACTTGTTGCAATTTATTTAATTTTTTTTATTTTTCTTTAAAAAATCAGGATAACAATAATATTAACAATCAGTACCATAATTCATAACTTTTTAATAATTTTATTTATTTATTTATTTTCATCAGTAATAAGGTAATCAAACAAGATTTATTATTCACATCATCAGCGAAACATTCATCAATCCGCTTATAAATATTTCCTGATATCCTAAACACACACCACACTCATGTGAACACACGCACACACACTTGCACGTACACATGTTTGTTTTATGTATACGAGGCTCTCTCTCCCTCTCTCCCTCTCTCTCTCCCTAGTTCTTTCTTTCTCTACTTTTTGTTTGTAACGTGTTTAACATTGATGTCTTGTTTTTTGCCAATATTCTTTCATCCTTGTCTGCTCCGTCGTGAAAGGCTTTACGTCGAACCAATTAATATGTTTCATCTGCTACAGCTTCATCTTCACTTGCTGATGTTTGTTTGTTCTGCTGCATCCGTCTGTCTGTGTGTGTATACAATTGTGTGCGTGCATGCGTGCGTGCGTGTGTGTTGGTTGGTGTGGTGCGTATGGGCTTGAACATGTATGTATGTGTTAGTTTGATGTGTACTTGTGTATGTGTTTATGGTGGTTCAGTGTGTGCGTGTGTATGCCGTTTGAAATTTAAATATAGCGATGGTAATGATGTTCTTGACAATGATGACCATGATGATGATGATGCTAAGAATGATGATAAAAACAACGACGAATATAATGATAACCATATTAATGACCGCATTAATTATAACAATAATAATAAAAATGATGGGGATAATAATGATGGCGATGATAATAATGGAAAAAAAGATGGAGATGTTGGATGATGTTTGTGGTGATGGTGATTGAAATTTTGTTGTAATGGTGATGTTGGTGTTGGTGATTGAAATTTGGTGATGGTAGTAATGACTTTATGTCCTTCGTGTTCATGGATTGAAGCACCTCTGACCAAAAAATGAATAGATTAGTTCATAAAAAATGGAAATAATATACGCAAAACGTATGTTGGGGACAAGAGTCTATAAACTGTCAATGAAATGACCTGAGCATCTGTAAGAGGGTTATAAACTGATGAATTAAATAGGTAACTACTTTCTATGCGTTTGATAGAGTTCGATTTACAGAATAAAAAACAAAAGATAAGTAAAAAAAAGAAAGACAAATTAAAAAATAAATAAAAACAGACAGATAAATAAATATTTATATATCTCAACTATACACAAATGTCTGAATATAAATGATTTCTTCAAAAATACATTATACATGTGGACGGGTGGTTGAGGGTTTGGATGTTGGATTTTTTGGATCAATACTGGATTTCTGCCGGATGTAATGATTAATATATAGACGGATTCAAAATGCGACGTGTGGATTGTATGGTGGGATGCATGAATGGATAGATATTATTCTTATATTATATGTATATATATATAAATATATTATATATTTATATATTGATACATATATATTAGATATATATCAATTACCATTAATACCGATCTAATAATATTAATAATAAAAATTGTTGTTTATAATTATTTCCATATCTATCAGGTATTTTATTCGGGCACAGACGTCGATGGATGGATGGATGGATGGATGGATAGATGGATGGATAAACGGACGGACGGATGGACGGACGGACGGATGGATGAATGGATGGATGGATGGATGGACAGGCAGATAGAGAAATAGATAAAGGAATGAATGAAAGAATGAATAATATTTGAAAGAGATTTATTTATTACTGTGATAATAAAATAGAATTTATAATAATAAAATATTCCTAAACAACAATGAACGATTACACGATGAAAGTATACATCTGGTTTGTTCTGATTTTCATTTTCATTATTATTATTATTGTTATTATTAAACCCAAAATGGAACCAATTTGGATCAAAGCTGAAATATTCTAGCGGCTTTTTCCTGACAGAATGGGCTTGGTTTTAAAGACTGATTTTTAGATACTTAATTATTATTCTAATTATTACTGTTTTTATTATTATTGTTATTTATATTATTATTGCTGTTGTTATTATCATCTATGTTGTGATTAATCAAGGTATCAGTTACAAATATGATAGTTATCAGTTTTCCTTTTCACACCGTACTTATATGTGTGTGTGTGTTTGTGTATGTGTGAGTGTGCATGTTGGTGTGATTATGTGTGTGTGTGTGTGTGTATGTGTGTGTGTTAGTGTATGTGTGTGTGTTACTGTGTATGTGTGTGTGTGCATATATGTGTAATTGTGTGTGTGTTAGTGTGTTTGGTGTGTGTGTGTGTGTGTACGTGTATAAAAACAAGATATCATAGAATGAGAAAACATGGAAGGCACCAAACTTGACAGAACTTCATGCAAATGAGCAGCGGCAGATCGGGTCATCAGACAACTGTTAAAAAAACAACTGCTCCAAAAAAGAATTCTTCAACAACAACATACACACACACGCACGCACACGCACACACACACACTGCCTTCTTTGCGACCGATGTAAAAACATGGAAAATATTTTTATGGTGATTGTCTAGTGATTGAAATTTTTACATTCTGCCACTGGCAAACAAACGAACGAACAAACAAACAAACGAACGAACGAACGAACAGTTAAATAAACCAATTAATACGTTTTGGTTAGGAGATGAACGCGTTTTTATTTATTTCCAGTTTTATGAGCAGTGCAAATATTGTTGTATATAGGCTTGAACGTAGTGAAGTGCAAACCCGCGACTAATCATCATCACATTCAGTCTTCATGCAAACAGAAAACAAAATATAATTAATATTAAATAAATATTGCATGCTCACTTAGTTAAAACTCTTAAATACCATCTAATCATTTTCTTAACATCTCAATGACCAAGTTGTAAGCTATACTTCCGGTTATATAGATATAAATAAATATTTATAAATATATGTATGTGTGTGCGTGTGCGTGTGTGTTTGTTCAATGCACCTGTAGGCATGTGTAATACCAATAGTGCTAATAACATTGCGCATATCAGCGTTCATTCATTCATTCATTCATTCATTCATTCATTCATTCATTCATTCATTCATTCATTCATTCATTCATTCATTCATTCATTCATTCATCCATCCATCCATCCATCAATCCATCCATTCATTCACTCATTTATTTGTTCGTTCTTTTGTTCGTTCGTTCGTCCATTTGACGGACGGAATGTCACACAACTCCTTTTACTGACATGGGTTAAAATTTCATGAGCCTAATAGAAAGATAAATAAACAAGGTGGATGTCGTGGCATGGGTCCTTAGTGATGTACTTTTGAGATCCCATGCTTCGTGTACCTTACGATGGATTGTTTCAAATTTCATGTTCACACTGTTGTTGAAACATTAACATTATTTTATTTTAATTTTTTGTAATTTTTTAATTTCACTATCAGATTTTGAAAGCCCGAAATTGTCTGAACAGTCATACACCACACGAAGTGCAGATTTGGGGGGTTTTCATTTAGAGAGAGCCCCAATGGATACAATGGACACACCGCAGTACGTGCCCAATGATGTCATCAACGTCCTATTTTCTGGTAAAATACATCAAACAAAATATTCAAATTCGTTTCATTCTCCATTCAAGAATGCATCAACTTCTAAGTCGAATCACGTGACTACAACAATGGTCAACCAATTGAAACAGCCCAATTGTGGTGATGTCATCGTCCGAAATGTTTCTCCACCTCTTTTCAACAACAGTGCAGTTTCATCCCTATCACCTTATTTAAAATTTCCTCTGCTTTGTTCAAATATCCAACAACAGTTTAAAGAATGGAACAACTTAAATGTCAACCAGCCATTTTATTTTCTCCATTCATATCACGTTGACTCGAGGCTCCATCAGAACCATCTTTTCCCTCCTCTCATTTCAAGTGCCAGGTTGCCACGGTCACCATCCTTCCCTCTGAACAACACCACTCACGTTGATCGGCCTACAAAATGTTTCCTCAACGAGTTCGATAAGAAAAACAGCAACACTTTCACCGGCAGAACAAACCACAATCTCGACAATAATGATAACCAAACTGAAAACACCAACACCAACCACATGAATAACCTTAACCAGAGCAACAAGACCTCTCTGGCCTTCTACCAATCCAACCAGCACTTCGACACGCACGTGTGCCCCGAGTGTGGCAAACGGTACAGCACATCGAGCAACCTGGCGCGCCATCGTCAAAGTCATAAGCAGCAGAACTCTCTGCCATCTAGCGAACAAAACGTCACACGGAAATGTCCTCACTGCGACAAAACATACGTATCGGTTCCAGCGTACAACATGCACGTGAGGACCCACAACCAGGGATGTGTCTGCAGCCACTGTGGCAAGAAGTTCAGCAGGCCCTGGCTACTCCAGGGACACCTCAGGACACACACCGGAGAAAAACCATTCAGGTTTGTTTTCAGGATCCGAGTCGTTCATTCTTCTTTCGTTTCTTCAATCTTTTCGTTCTTCATTGATCACTTGTCCGATGAATTTGCTCATCTTTTTAAAAAATATGATTTTGATTTGAGATGTTCACATTTAAACCCAATTCAAACATGTACAGCCGACAACTGGCAGTTTTAGGTGTTTTAATACCCAAAACCGAGTTTCAAAAATAACATAAATATTAATATTAATTTATATATGTGAGAGTGGTTTATAAAAAAAAATCTCCCTTTTTTTCTTTAACTCGTTTATTATCGCAAATGAGATGAATGAACTATTTTTTGCGCCACTTCATTTGTTATTAAATAATAAAAAAAGTCCAAGTGAAAGTAACAAAATTGAACAAATTCTTTATACAAATTTGTAAAAATATGGACTGAAAACTAATTCAGCCCACCGACAACAATAAAATAAGTTAAACTTTGTAAAAAAAAATTGTTGAAATATGTAACATCGTGTCATAGCCAAAACAAAGGTCGTCAACATTTTTTAACAAATAAAATCTCACTCACGGCAAATTTCTTGCTTTGCCACTGAATTGCCAATATTAATTGATGTTATTTCAAAATTGGTGTTGTTCGGAATATTGAAAAATACTAACCAAAAAAATAACATGAATTAGTTTTCTAATTAACGGTAGATAAACAATGCGTCGAAAGATGTACAAACCAAGAAAAAATAAAAAAGATAAAAAACAGCCGAAGTTAGAGAGGAACGTGCCATAAATTTCACATGCAGTCACATGCAACTCGATTTGAAGCGATGATGTCAATATAACTACTGGAACAATAAACATCTTCATACTGACTAGTCTGTCAATTTTTATGCCGAAAAGAAGAAAAGTTATTTATTAGTCCGCTTTTCTTTTGAAATATTTCTTTCAGCATTTTAAAAAGAATTAATTGATGTAGCGCCATATTTTAGTAATAAACTTCGATACCACAATCTCCTGGCACCAAGAACAAACGCAAACAAAAATAAATAAATGGGTGGAAAATTATTTCAGTAAATAATGGTAATAGATTAATATTCAGATTCACTTAAAAATATTTAATTATTTAATGTTTCTATATTAATCGCAGCTAATAATTTTTCATACAAATTGTCAGCTGCTTTTATTTTTCATATTCCACAAAACTGATGATCTATTGATATCATATCCCATCCGTCCAGTATCTTTTTTTTCGTTTCTTGTATTTATAATTTTGCAATTTGTATAATTTCTGTAGAAAATATTGATGCTGAAACAAATGTCAAACAGTCGTCATGGTGTGATAGCGTTGAAATTGGTTTCTTACGAATGTTATCAAACAGCGCACCAATTTAATAGCGGAGTTGTTTTATACAGGGCATCGAAGCGTGATATTATCGGTTCAACTAATGATAAATAAGATGGTTCTTTTTTACCTAAGTATATACAGACAATAAATAAAACTGAATAATTTTTGTTGAATGAATAAAAACCACCAGACATGTTTTGAAATATTTTATAATCAAGAAATGAAAATTCCTAAAAAATAAACTTCAAGTACAAGAATATAATTCGCCAACAAAAAACTATACAATTTATGTATGTACTTGTACATCGTACATATTTAAAACACAACTAAAGTATATAACGCTCTATATAATATTATGGTTTGGTTATATTAGATAAAATTGCCTCTAATTATTAAAAACGACATTTTGAAAAAATATTATGTTGGGTTGAAACTGGCGCCATAATAATTCCAAAATTTAACTATTTTACTTTTAATTTTATGACAATTTTTCAATCCAAGCTCAATCAAAATCGATAGGAAAAAATGTTTTACAGCACGTGACTGTTAGGCAAAGTATTGAAATATTGAACATGCTGTAAAACATTGAAAATGTAATAAAGAGTTTAAAAAACTCCGAAACGCCCGGTATTTTTAAGATTTTCAAATGACTTAGTTTTTCATATTTAATCGCGCACTGAACCGAAGTTAACCAAAATTAGCCAATTTTTTAGGTTGAGCTATCGCATGCACAGGCACACATACAAACACAATGTTATATCTATTAACGCCTGACAGATGTACCCAGTGTTCCAAGACCTTTGCAGACAAGTCGAACTTGAGAGCCCACATACAGACGCACTCCACCGAGAAACCTTACGTGTGTTCCAGGTGCAACAAGGCATTCGCTCTCAAGAGTTACCTCTACAAACACGAGGAATCATCCTGTATGAGAGGATCCAAATATTTTATTGGAGTTGTATGATGTCAAATTAATTTATTCACGTGTGCATGTTTATGTGATTGTGTACTTTTTTGAGTTCGCTTTTCTGCCTGAGTGTGTGTGTGTGTGTGCATATGTGTGTGTGCGTACGCGCCAGCGTTTTACATAAGCAAGAATGAGTGTGCATTCTATATGCATAAATGATTTCTTGAAAAATTAAGTGATTTACGACAACATTTGAATTGTTTATACCGCGTCTACATATATTATAATTGAATGATTTATCTGATGTCAACTTATGAAAAACGCAATACAATACAATACAATATCGACCTTGAGTACGTTTCCTGGCGAGGTAGACAGCAAATTTTTAATCATCTGCATGATTTTAACATCACCATCTTCATCATGTCAACATCATCATCATCATTATTTCAACATCATCATCTTCATCATTTCCACATCATCATCTTCATCATTTAAAAATCACCATCATCATCATTTCAACATCATCAACTTTATCATTTCGACATGCCCATCATCTGAACAGTATTCATGTTTTTGTTATTCAATGCATTCATCTGTATTATTATGTCAAACAAAATCATTTGACAAATTTACAACAAATGTTTAGAAATTATTTGCGATACCAATAACTCTGATGAATCGTTTGCTTATAATGTCAAATAAATACTAAAAATTAGATCTTTGTTTTATAACAAAAACCAAATTAATTACAAATAATTACAATTAGATTTTTGTAACCTTTAGGTTTTCCATGAAAGGTTTGGTAATTTTTGAGTACCATTTTAGAGTCTGCATGATATATCCCACAATATACACATAAACACAAATTATTAAACAATTATATTTGCGAATTGAAAACAAAATTAATTAAAAAACTTTGTAAGAAAAAAATTTTCAGTGTTTAAGTTTTCCATTGCCATCTTGTGATAATTGTCAGAAAATTATCTAGATCAGATTAAATGACAAACAAACTCCAACTTTAACAAACAATTTTATTATCATAGTTTATTTTATTATTGTTTTATCTGTAAATAATATCACAAATTATATGTAAATTTTACTTAGGAAAGAAAATTAGTAAATTAGAAATCAATGTATTTCTATCGGATCATAACATAAAATGACGTCTTTCATAAAAAAAAGTGCATTTCGGATGGAAAGAAAATAGGTCACCAAAACATAAAATATATTACGAATTACAACTCGCCTACACAAACACATCCTATAATTTCCAACTCCCACATTTTATTTAACCACCAACTTCTACCTGCACTCATTTTTTGTTCACTTCTTTCACTTAAATATCCAGCTGTTGCATATTAACTAAACCAGCGCATAAACATTTAGCGGTAGGTATAAATTCTATGAAAAAAAAACTAAAAGCATAGCTAGAATAAACTCAAAAAAATTAGACAAAAAAATTTGTAAAATTTATTAATGTTTTTATAAATCCGTATGTTCTGCTTGAAATTAAACAAGTTTTCAGCCACAGTCACCAAATTCCCAGTACATCGGCCTTTTTTAACACTTAACGAGGGAAAGATAAGAACCGACAAGCAAACAGGGCGCAAACAACTCCCATCAACAACATGCACACGAATTGAGTTTTATGCTTCACTTTGTTTTCGAGCCCGATGAGATGACAGATGCAAACTTTTAATTTACTGATCCATGTTAAAACAAAAAGTTTGTCAAATAAAAAATAAGTCTGTTGAGCTGAAGTCATTCAAATTTCGTAATAAAACTTTTAAAACACTTTTGTTGTAAGACATACCTACCATAACATTTGGATATTCAAAAGCAGGACAAAAAGTTAAGTGTAATGAATATAAAAAACGTTATTAGCATTTAACATAATTTTATCATAAAATCACTTATCAATTTAACAATAAAAAACAATGATTATTGTCAATGATGTTTGATTTTACACTATTAACAAACCATTAACAATATCCTTGCAAATAAAATGGTCGTCTAACATTCATGTTTTAAACTCCATAGGCTGTAGCTCCGTTTTGAATGCAGCTTTTATTTTTTAGCATGCCTCTTTCTTGCGGTTAAACCCTTTCACTCGAGGCTGTGTATGAAGCTTTTCGAGATTTTAAAAGAGGACGTCAGATGGCTTGCATGAATAACACATCTCCTTGTTGAAGATTTTTTCTTTTTTGCTTTTTGCTGTTAAAAGCCCACATAGGGGTTTTCTAAGATTTCTCTGATGCTCACTGATGTTGGGGCATCGCCATCTTTCCCTCTTCCAGATGACTATACGAGCTTCGGAATAGACTTCTTTGCCATTCTAAACAGTGTTTACCGGGTTCTTCAACTTGGGGATCGATCTCATACCAGTTTCGTCGATTCTCTCTGTAAATGGACACTAAAATTCGAAGTCTGTTAACTTCTCAAAAAACCAGTCTCCGTCAGAAGGACTGATGACTGATGATGTGAGAAAATAGGGATTCCAGGATTTCAATCTGGCAGCAGGATTAAGACACAATTTGTTAAAACGCATTAACCTTGAACACATTTTTTGTTAAAGTACCTGAGCCACTGACGTATTTTTCTTTGCTGTTTCAGTAAAATCATAATTATCATTTATATCGCAATTAAAATAATTGAAATGTCGGCCTGAGAAATTTTTTTTATGTGTTTTGTCAGAATCATACTCATCAGAAATATCGCAGCGAAATTAAATTAAATAGATAATTGGTATGAACAATTTTTTTGATGTATTTTGTTCGAATTACAATCATCACTAATTTTGCAATGAAGTTGAAAAAAGTTGGTTTTATTGATGTCTTTGTGTTAGAAACATGAAAGAATTGTGCTGTGCATTCATGTATGTTTTTGTGTGCTTCAAATTTTTAAATTGTTATTAAATTGCTATTTCAGTATTTCACTATTGGTTGCGCAAAAAACGGGACAAGTACGCGCCGCGCACACACTGAAATCTAATTTAACCGACTGTTTGCTGTTCTTATTACCGTCCCTACAATCTTACTTTACCGACTTGCCATCTTTCGTACCGTCCCTACAATCTGTCATCGATTCGATGGCTTTTTAAACTGCATGTAAACTTCCTGGTTTTGAACTTTTCCAAAATGCGTTAAGTTAATTATTCGATTTACGCTTATTGTTAATAATTTTAAAATTCATTTTACTTTTTTTTTCTTCTTTTTAAAATTAATTTGCAAACGATGAGTTTGAAAAACCTTCCGTGAGTTTTTCTTCAATTTTTATTTATTTTTGTAAAATTTAATTAAATTTAAAAATTTAAATTAAAATTAAACTTTAATAATTAAAGTTTAATTTAATATTATTATGTATTAATTAAATTAAATTTATAATTTAACAAATTAAATATATAATTAAAGTTTATTTAATTATGTTTTAAAATTTAAAGCATAATTAAAAAATTTAATATTTAAAATTTAAATATTAAATTTTTTACAATAGTTAAAAAACTTCTTAAACTTGGATTTTATTTTGAAAGGTTTTTAAAATTAAACTTTAATAATTAATTAATCAAATCAAAAGAAAGTTTAAGAAAGTTTGAGAATTAAGTATAAGTTAATTAAACTGTTAAATTTAATATTGTTAAATAAATAATGCAAAATAAAACAGGCCAACAAATTATGCTTTTTACATAGTTTCATTTTTTTACACATTTTTTAAATTAATTAGATATTAAATTTTAAAATAGAATAATCAGATCTTATTTATTTGATTAAATTCTTCAATTAATCATTAACATTAAATTAACATTAAGGATTATTTTTCTTGCTCAGCCTGGTTGGTTAGAAATAGAATAGGATATATAATATAATTATACATAATTGAATTCAAAAAAAGTTAAATAATCATTATTAATGTCAACTATAATATGTGTCTGTGTGATGACTTTCTTATGTATGTATATTTATATTATAATTTTATTATTATATTATTATAATATTATTATTATTATATTTTTTCTGAATAAAAATATTTTAAATTTTTTTATAAATATTATGTGCACACTTTTAAGTATAAGAATTAGTCAATAGAATAAATTGAAGTTTTTTCAGTTTTTATATAATATTAATCCACAAACAGAGTTTGGTAGAATTAAAATGTTGTTACATTTATAATCATTCCATTGATTAGCAATTAGGAAAATGAAAAAGGCAGTTCAAACATGTCATGTTAAGTGACTTATAATGGGTGGTTACTAAAATATTCAATAATTTTTTTCAAGTTATTTTCAAGCGAATTTGTTTTTAAAAATGTTTTCATTGGTATAAATATAAATTTTGTTTATTCCAATAATTTTATGTAATGAAACTTCTTGAAAACTATTTCATAAGTGGATACATGCCTGATGCATCACGAGATGAAACGCAAGAAATGCTAAGGAGTCGAATACCAGGAACCTACCTGATTCGGAAGAGCACACATTTCCCTGGAGACTACACTCTCAGTCTTTGTAGTGACGACACCATCGAACATTACAGAATCCGAACAAACAATACTCTTCCAAAGCCCTACACCATAGATGAAGAAGTCTTTTTTGACAACTTTGAAGAACTCATCCAAGTAACAAAATAAATGATACATCATTAGAGCTGCTAGCGAATAATTGTTATTCAACTAATTTGAAATGAAATGTTCTGACAGCATTACACATTAGATGCTGATGGGCTCTGCTGCAAGTTGGTCCAACCAGTGGCCTCCAAGAAAGAACTTTTACACATCGAACGATCGTCACTCATTCTTCAAGAAAGTATTGGCAAGGGGGAGTTCTCAGGTGTGCTTGATGAATTTATTTCATAATCTTCTATTTCAAATTTTAAGAGCTTCAACTTTGAACTGCATTGGTTTTTTTTTAAATTCTATTGACTTCATCTTGAAACTTTATGGATATTTTTTATGCAATTTTTCACTTTAATATTGAATTTAATAAATGAACAGAAGTACAAAAAGCTTCATTCAAGAACATAGAAGTTGCAGTGAAAACTGTGAAAGACAAAAGTTTGATATCATTGTTCAAGAGAGAAGTATCCATGATGCTGTGAGTTGATTGATTGCTTGGGCAACTAATTTGAAATTTCTCTTCACATTTAAAATTTAACTTAAAACATAAACTGAAACAAAAATATAAACGAGCGACAACCCATCAAAGTATTGAACTTGAAATGCGTGCAGAACGCTGAATCACACAAACTTGGTGCAGTTGATTGGCATTGTGGACGACAACGACGACTCACTCTGCATTGTCACCGAGTACATGGGTCGGGGCAGTCTGCTCGATTACCTGAGAACCAGGGGCAGGAGTGTCATCACCCAGTCGGATCAGATCAAATTTGCTAGGTAGGTCCATTTGTGTTTGGATGGTTAGATGGATGCTTGGATGGTCAGATGGATGGATGGACGAATGGATGGTCAAATGGATGTTTGCATGTGATAAGCGGGGATCAATTTGCGTTCGATCCTGGCCACTGCAACAGCAGAACCATAGAATCAGGCATCTTAACCATTACACCATGTCGCGGCCCAATTATCTTTTAATTGGATGAATAATGTTCTAAAGATATGAAGGAATAATGAAAAATGTTTACTCATCAGATATGTTTGAAAATATGTGTTAACAAGGGTTTATGTTCATAGATGCATGTTCACATATATGTTCATCTTAATAACAGAGATGTTTGCTCTGGTATGAAATATTTGGAAGAGAAGAAGCTGGTGCATAGAGATCTGGCAGCCAGAAACGTTCTTCTGCATGATAATGGAGTTGCTAAGGTCAGATTTTCGTTGGCTTCCATTGGCTGAATTTGTATGTGTGTGTGTGTGTGTGTGTGTTGTTGGCGTGCTGTTGGGTGAAACGTGTGTAATTTGATGCAGTAAATTACTCCCGGTTGTTTTCAAAACTTCAAATCTAGCCATTTATAATTTATATGTGTCTTTATTAGATATATTATTTTCTGGCTGGATAGTTGATGAGTTGTAATGCAATTGTGTGTCAGGTCGTAAGGTGAGATTTCATGTTCAATGTCGAATAACGTGTTACGATTTTAAGCTTCAATCATTGCTTACCTGCTTGCTTGATTGTCTATTGGCACGGTAGGTGTCGGATTTTGGATTGGCAGTGAATGATGTGATGATGAAGACGGCCGGCTGTAAGATACCTGTCAAGTGGACTGCACCTGAGGCACTCAAACATAATGTTTGTTTGTTTGTTTGTATGTTCGTTTGTATGTTTGTTTGCCCGTATGTTTACTGTTTCTTAATTGTTATTTGATATGTGACCCTGAATTATGTTTCATGAGTATTTAATGCTTTGGCCGGTTGTATGTACTCTTGCATTTGTTTCATTTTTGAGAATTATTAATTGACTGAAATAATTTGAAAGAAATTCACATGCAAGTCTGACGTGTGGAGCTTCGGAGTGCTGCTCTGGGAGATCTACACGTTTGGAAGGGTGCCATACCCCAGAATTGTTAGTCATTTTGTTTTCATTGGTTGATTGGTTAGGGTTAGGATTGATTGGTTGGGTGTTTGATTGATTGGTCGATTGATTTTCATCACTTTTTTTCCATCTGCTAAATTTTAATGTGGATTGTTTAGGAGCAGCTGGTTGGAATGTTTCTAGTTTCATTTTTTAATTTTGTTACAGTTGTTTTTATGTATACATTCAAAATATCTGTTTGTCTAACACCCTAATTACTGAAACATGACTTGCTGATTCTTATCTGCTGCTCTGACATCACAACCACTGCTCCATAAATCACCATGGCGATTAATGGCGCATCTTTTTCACCCTTTTGCAGTCGTTTGTGAATTTTTTTTCTAACTAGAAAATTTTTCCCTTCTGCTGTTTTATTTGTTCCATCATTATTTGCATCATCGTACGATCGGTGATCACCAAAAAATTATTCTCATCATTACCGTCGCATCCCCACTTTATCACCCTATCTTCCTCCCCTTATCATCGCATTATAACACACACACACACACACACACACACACACACACACACACACACACACACACACATCAGTATGTAACACACACATCACCATACACATACATCACCATACACACACACACACACACATCAGTATGTAACACACACACACACATCACCATACATACACACACTTCATCATCATCATCATCATACAACACACACACGTCATGACATGCTCATTCATCACTGGCTCGTACAAACGAACGAACGAACGAACAAACAAACAGTCCTTGAATGACGTACTGGCCTGGCTGGAGGAGGGCAACAGGATGGATCGACCCGATGGATGCCCGGAGGAGATGTACAAGGTGATGAAGATGGCCTGGAGGTGGCAGGCTGACGAGAGGCCGACCTTCAAGGACATCCATTCCCTCATCATCGAGTGTGCGTCCACCGATGTATGATGATATTTCAGCATCACCTTATTCACTTACGTACTTACTCACTCATTCCACTCACTCTTAGCGTCACATCGCCTGGTTTTGAAGATAATAATGGGTTGGTGAGGATGGATTCGATGATTGTAATGCTTACTGTTCGTGCGGTGATGATTACGATGATGCCAATGTGATGATGATGATGATGAGTGGTCATGATCATGGGGTTAGGTCAATATAATATGACTCAATGTATTGCCTGGGTTATATATACATACAAATACGTATACAAACATTTCCTGGGTTATATATATACATGTGTGTGCTTGTGGTGCAGGTCTATAGATGATGTCATCAGCCGACATTTGTGATTTGTGGCGTCTTTGTGGATTTGAGTGTTTCATTAATCTACTACTGCTGCTGCTACTGACGATTATACGCTTAACATTCGATCGTCATCTCACCATTTCGGGACGTTGATGCATCGAACATGCATCAGATTGTCATCATCACGTTGTTGTAAGTAAATGATCGTGGTGATGATAAACGTTCATCACCTCATGCATAAGATCGCACACACGACGTGCACCACTTGTGAACTGCACTTCATCACAGTTAGCCTCAGATCACAATAAGTTTAACATGACACCGAACCATTTGTTTCTCTTTAAGAGGCAAATATTATTATTAGTATTATTATTATTGTTTTATTGTAAAATCTCCATGTAAATTTTGTTTATACAAATCAGCAATTAATTAATTAACAATTAGTTATAGGAGGCCTACCTACACGCAGACTCAGTTACTTAGTTAACCTAATCTAATACTCGCCTAACACCATCTCAATTGCCTCGTCTTATGTTAGTGCTATCCATTACTTCTTGTTACATTAGCACCTCATTACGTGAGGTATCGTGTGTAAATGCTGACATTCTTTCATGTAATCAAGGTCTCATTTGTGATTGTACAATTAATTTGATTGTTTGTATTGAAGATTTGTGACTACAAATTATAATCATAATTTTCGTTTATTATGTTACTTGTTCATGTTACCATCGTGTTACTTCTCTGTTCCATGTGTTGCGTTATAATTTCTTTTGTACATCTTAAATTCTTTTATTTCGTCTTCAGCATATGCATTATTCGTTTGTTGATTTGTAATCATTTATCATGGGCCACGATTATTTTCTAGTTATTTCAACGAATCAACGCATTGAAAATCAAATAAACTTTTATTGTAATGTTATACAGTAAGTCTAGATCAGCTCGCTACAAATCTCTTATTATGTATAATGTGATATCATTTCACATGTCAGTGCAGATGAGTTGTTTCATTTTTTTTACTTATTTTTTTCATTTAAAATCTCACCGCTTTGTACAGGTTTATATATTGTGCCAATGTTTTCATTTGTTACAAGTTATCTTTCTCTGGTTCTTCTCTTCGTGTAGACGCATGTGGCATTCGTTAGTGTGGTATCAACATTTATTAGTGTGGTATCTAAAATTGTTCTTATCAGTAGCAAGATTATTCTCCATGTGTCGTAATAATAATAATAATAATAATTAAACTATCGTGTGTACGTACCATTTTATTATTTACTTTTTCGACAACTTAACCTCATGTGTATATTTAAATAAATAAATAAAAATAAATTTAAATAAACATTGAATATTTATTATTACTAATACATGGCAGAGTGTTCATCTTCCCATGTTTTAACTATTGGTTGGTTTAACTATTTGACAGATAGTTACAAAGACGAACATGCAAACATACATACATACATATTTGCAGACATACATATATACATACATACAAACAAACAAACATACAAACAAAACTACAAAACAGCGTAGAGTAACTTCTGTAGGTTTTACTGAACTGATCCTAAGTTGCTGACGCGGTTTTTTAATTTGTTCAGATTCGTTCATTGTTATCTTTTTTCAATTTATTTAAACGTATCACCTGAAGTAAAAAAAAATATATCCAGATGTATCTTGATGTATATGTCTCTGTAAATGTTGGTGTGATAGAAACTGTGACCTCATCACAGCATTGACGCCATGACTGTTTTTCAGTTATTCCATATTAACATTCAACGTGCAACTTAAGTATATTTCTTTCATGGAAGCATAACAATCACATTAATTATCTCTTAGACAAAAATGAATTGTTCTCCATTCTTCTTTGACAACATTATCATCCTGAACAATTACATCACAATTAACTAACGTTTATTCATCACGTTGACCTATGGTTATATATATATACATAAAACGCTTCAAACATATATATATATATATATATATACATATATATACATATATATATATATATATGTATATATATATATATATCAAAATGAAGAATATATATATATACAGTAATTAATGAAATTTACCGAATTTTTAGCGTTGGATAGTTTTTTTTATTATATATCTCAATATTTCTAACCAAATTCTTGTCGTCATTATTTATTTTATAAACGTTTGAATAATATACAGTTTTCCAATTCATTCTCGAGGGTATAGGACTTATTTTGATTTTTCGATCATCTTCAAGAGAAACTCTCTATATAAACTGCAACAAGTGCTGAAGATGATTGAAAAATCGAAATAGGTCTTATAACTACCTACACTCGAGAATGAATTTGGTTCGAAATATTGAGAAATGTAATAAAAAAACTATCCAACGGTAGAAAATCGGTAGATTTCATAAATTACTGCATTAATTCACCAGCATTCATATAAATATATATATATATACACCAACATACGATCACACCAACATATATATATATATATATATATATATATATATATATATATATATATATATATATATATATTGAATTGAAACAATCTTTTATTCAGCAAAATATCACATTAATATATATATATATTTGTGTGTTTCAGTGATTATTTATATTCCATAGCATTCCAAGTAGCTAAATTAAAGACCATGACTCGTGTTAACATAATAAAATCATTCTTGCTGAACTACCGTAAGAATGTAATAATCTGTTATTTATTTTGTGCTTCTTGGACCGAGCCGTTTGCATGAATGGATATTGTCTCAGTGCAAATAGTAGAAAAAATCTACAGAGAGAATGTATGAAGATCGTTATTCCTTTCTTTTAGAGATCTGATATTTACAGAATGTGAACCCTACTATACTTCAAATTATTCGTGGCTGTGATCAGCTTTGCGTGCATACAAATGGTTTTAAGTGGCTATGTTATTTCATTACTAAATTAAATTTGCACTTTTTGAGTTATTTTAAGTTTTTTATTTGTATAACGATGAATTATTTAAATGTTGTGTGTGGTTTATTGAAGTTACAATTAAATTATATGATTAGCTGATGACGAATGATATAGAATTCTCATCTTATTCTCATTGCAATTGTCCTGTTGTTTCAAAAATTATAATAATTCTTAGTTTTTTTAATTGCTTCAAACTATGGTACTTAGCAATCAATTTCAAATATAATGGACGTTATAGTGCAACGATATATTGTCACTCATTCACTCAGTTATCTCTGCTGTTACTTAATTTAACGTTGATTTTCGTTTCATTCAGTTTATCTCTGGACCGCGTTTCATTTGTAAAAAAATAATTGTTGAATAATGTTTTAGAACGTTCATGCGTTTGTCACAATTAAGCGAACTTTATCCTATAAAATATATATATATATATATATACATACACCTTATTTATTACTATTATTATTATACTAATTGTTTACTTTAAAAGCGCTGTTAATGAAAAAGTTCTCGAAGGCTCTCTCAGAAATGACATATATTTCAAGTTGAAAACACTATCTCCTCTTTCTCCCCTTGGTCGCTGCTGCCGTTGCCTATCTCAAACCAATGTACAGCGAAACGTTAAATCTCCACACTCGGCAAGGTAATTATTACCATAGATATCCATGGTTATAACGTTCTCTTATTTTAGTAATAAAGAAATAAGGGTAGGTACCTTTTGAACGTAACACGTTGGTATTCAAGAGCCAACTTGCTCAAATCAAGAGTTTCCTTAAAATGTAAGGTTAATTTAACAAGTAGGTAGATAACAAAATGCTAGTTTATTATTAGAAGACTGATCGAAATGCTTAAAAAAGTAAGTAAGAAAAGCAGGCATTTAAAATAAATTTTTCTTTGCAGAATGAAAAAAAATTAAAGATTTGAAAGAAAAGAGTGAGAATAGACAATTTCAGATAATGTTTTTGGTGGTGTTGCTTAAACTTGTACGCATAAATATTATTTTTATAGCTTTTAAGTTTTAATTAAACAATTTTCAACTTAGCGTAGCGTTAAAACGTTTTACATCTTAGCAAAAACCGTTAACTAACCAAAGTACCATCTTTTTTTAACGGTTTTTATCATTTATATATAGAAAAACCACACGTCTAATTTTGTGTAAAAACATTAAATTACAGTTACAAATTACTTAAAAATTTACACAAAGTGTAAATTTAAATATACATTTAAATACATTTTTTAACACAAATAATTTAATTTAATACTAATAATACAAATAATTTAAATACACATTTAAATACAAATTTAAATACACAAAATTTAAATAAAAATTTTGTTGCGCTCCATTCCGTGTGATTTGCCAACGATTTGTTGATATATCCATATTTGAAAAGTAAACACGAGGGGGTTGTGTTGCGATAGTTCATCTTTCAAGTATTTGTTTATTAATATTTTGTGGCAAACCAGTGTGTCAACTAATTTATTATTTTCAAGTAAATTACTCTCTTTTATGAAATAAACAAATTAAAAATGAATTTACTTTTGAAAAATTGTGCTTAGTAGCATCATAAAAATTCTTAATAAAATAAAAATTATAATTATTGTACAATTTCATACAATGTTATTTGTATCTATATTCTATATGATAAAATAAAATAATATATAATTATAATATATATTATATCATAATATATATTTTTTAAATTATTGCAATTTTATATTATAGTTTATTTTAGTTTATGTCTTTATAATTTATATAAATATAAATAATTTATATAAATATATTTATGTCATGACTTATATAATTTCAAAATAATTTTAAACAAAGTCAGTAGATATTACTTATTGTTAATAGTGTTTTAATGTGCTAGTTAATCAACTTTATAAATAGAACTTAATCAAAGGCTGAAATAAGATATTAAAATACAAATAAAATAGTGAAGTAAATTAGTGACAGAAAGGTCAACGTCATGCCTGCAACTGCTTGGTTATTAACTAAACAAATAACTAATCTGAAACTGTTGACATCAATTGCATTTGGAATACTTGTACATGTGACAAAGATTTTTGTGTTGGATGGCCAAGAAGAAATTCAACCATTGGAAACGGTGTTCAGAAATCATAAAAATGCATACAACAAATGGTTAATAAAGAAAAATGTTCAGCTCAACCAGGATTATAGGTTTTATAATGAAAATGTTAGGATGTTTATAGTTGCATGAACTAAAATTTAAAATTAGATTTTAATCTGCTTTAAAAAACTTTCTTATATGAAAAATTTTCAATCATTTGAAAATTTTTTAAGTCAATATTCGTTTTTTTGCTTTCTATAAAATTTGCGGTTATAAAGTTATTTATCTGTAAAAACAAAAAATTTGGGGTTCACTTTTCATGGGTAATTGTTAATTGATAACTTTATTTCCAACATGAAATCTCATAAACATAAATGATATTTGTAGATGTTGCCTTTATCAATAGTAAGTTAGAAAAATTAATATTGTGCAACTAGGTTTGCACATTCCAGGACATGATTTTTCAATCTGTTCCCATATGATCTGCAAAAGTGCACTACATGAGTCCAAAATTCTAAAATCTCAATCGCACATGCAGATGATAATGTGAAAATAATTTAATTACATTACTTTATATTTATAAAGTGTAGTTGGGCAAATAGCTATGATTATTTAATATAAGAACATTTAAAAAATTCAAATCTTAAATTATCTGCATTAACATTTTCTGGTATTTTCCAGACTATTTCAGAAAAGAAATTTTTGGAAAAAGAAATACAGGTGGCGTGTTTCACATTTTTACCAAGTCGTCAATTTGAGAATTACATTAATTCTAACAATGAATCACTGTCTGGTAGATGCAACAAAATGTTCTATGTTGGTTCTCCAGACTCCGAGATTAAATTAACGAATTTATCTGAGCATGTCAAATTGAGCTTTGTAGAGGCTATCAGTTGGAGGATCATGAGACCCATCCTTGAAATCATTCATTCTGCTTCTCAAAAGTTAGTTCATCAATTGCACTTTTTATTCAAGCATCCATTTAAATTTTAGCGTAAAAACTTCTCAAAACATTTAAAATTTTCTCTTTAAAAAAATGATGAACGCAAAATTGTCAATTGATTTATTTCAACATCTTTATGAAGTAACTTCCAACTCTCAGTACTGTCTCATGTTACTTCCACATTCCAGATATGGCTGGTACATTTTCAACAAACAAAATACCTTCTTTATAACAGAGAACTTCAGATATCTTGTATCTGTGTTGGAAACATCTAAACCATATTACCTAGGCCATCCGGTCTACATGAGAGGCAACAAGGGTTCTTATAATGTGCTCGACTCAGGGATTGCCTTGAATTTGAAAGCAATTAACACTCTAACTTTTTTATTGAATTTGAATAAGTGTCCACAAAACAAATTAGTATCTCTAGATGTGGGGCTAGCATCCTGTCTGGCCCTGGCCGGAGTTCGTCCTTATGATACAAAGGATGATGAGGGTAGACATCTATTTATTTACCAATCATTCAATGATCTCTTCAGTCACCCCAAATACTTTTGGTCACGTTTTATAAATAGCGAAGACGACGAAACGAAGGTAAAGTTAAATTTTAACGTTTAAAACGAATTTACCTATTGTTTGCAAGATAGCATGTGTGTGAATGAAGTATCTCCCTAACATATACAATGTAATTGATTAAGTACGGATAACATTTTTTTTAAGTTTAAAAGATTTGATGGTCCAGACAATGTAATATCACTCTTAGTTGACGACCAATCAGACATCGACGTACTGAACTTTCTAATTTACAAATGGATATCTTACGGGGTTGGGGTTCCTATGCTCAAAAGAAATGGCACTTCCTTCCAAACGGCCGGGTTTTCATCATCAGATGGCTCATGATGGTCACGACTTATTTCATGACTGAGTTAATGGTGAATGCAGTATTTTTTTGTTTTCCAGACAGCAGCGTCATGTAAATTATAATGTAAATATACTCTATAATGATATTAATATTTTCTAAAAACGGATTGCTTTTCGTTTGTATATTAGATTTACTTCTCACAGAACTGACTATAAAGTTTAAATTGATCTCGTTTAAATTTGCCAACGATTTATTAAAATTAAACTCACTAATATAATATAAGTACAGACAATGTCTTTATCCTATATCTAATAAAACGCTATTGATATGTTAAATGTCTAAAATTTTATAATAAATATTTCTACATAATGAACACAGTAAAAGTGGAATAATAAATAATAATCGTTATATTTCAGGAACGGGATGTCTAAAAAAATTAGCCAAATTTGTGGTAGCGTGGCCAAAAGTAAGCTGGCGACCTTTGACGATCTTTTTATCGATTTTCCACTTAAAACGGTTTCTTTTTCTGTGCAAAGATTGAATTACTGACTTTTGATAGAAATACTGCTTACATCGTCAATTTTTTCTCTGCCGTTTAAACATCTACACTGTCACTCTCAATTTTATTTTCAATTCTTGTCCGACCACATCATTCGAAGAAAGGTTTCGAATCAGTACACATAGGGAGAGATATACAGAAAGAGAGGAGAAAGAGAGAGAAGGAGAAAGTAAAAAAGAATGCTTTATTATTATAGGTTTATTATGTAGTAAATTATTTAACAACAACACACGTTTAGACGACATTTTCCCTGAGATCGGGGGTTGCCGTTTGGCTACCAATGATGAAACCGAAATACCCCTCGATGAGGGCCATTGTCACTTCTGTCATCATAAGTAATTTATTTGGCTAATTTTTACACAGGACGCCCTTCCTTACGCAACCACAGTTATAAGCAGTGGGCCTAGCCTTTGATGATCCAACATCACTCACAAGGCAGTGAGGGTCAGTTTAATGTCATAACCAGGACTGTTTATTTAAATTATTTAACTTGAGCAATTTTAAATCATTAGTTTTCTAAACTTGCCACCCCAGGCCAGTGCCTGTGCGTAAATCTGTCAATGTTTCGTATTGTGGCGCTAATGTACGAGAACGCCAAACCAGGAAGAGTAGTGCGTAGGAGTGAAAAGAAGAAAAGAATAGTATTCGTTTGGACAGATTGGACTCATCAGCAGCTCAAATACTTATCAGAATATGATTGCAGTTTTTTTCTTATATAGCCCCCACGAATCACTTCTTTAGTTTGTGGCGTTTTTATTTATTTTTAGATCGTTAGTTTTAATCTTTAGGATTTGCGATCCGACAATATCAATTTTGATCGTGTCAATTTCAACGAATGCCACCCGGCAGTATTTCAAGCTCATGTAAATTAATTTTAGCTGAAATAATTTGCATGCTGACAGGTGAGTAAGGAGCATAATAGAGAATTTTATATATTGTTATAAACTTCAACGATCGTCACTTCTGACACCAGTGTTATAAGTTTAAAGATCTCTATTTCCAACACCAGTGTTGTACCATGCACCATCGTCAAGTTATTGCTATTCCGTAGGTTCAAGATTTCTGATGGAAGAACACAACTGCTTCAAACGCAAATTTGTTTAAACGCTTATTCGAACGCCAACAGTAATAGAAACACTAAACTAATCACCAATCGGAGATTTACGCACGATCGCCAACGATACAGATCGTAAAACTACATAATTCACACCTACAACTTCGCTATAAAACCCCGCTATTCACATGGCTTATATACAAAAAAATTTATAATCCAGAGATAACAAATATAGCACAGATAACAAACAATCAAGATAATGATTATACTGCGCAATTCGACTATTTCGGCAAATATAATACATATGGCCAGGAGTATCACACAAAAACATATGCAACCGACAACGTATATAATAATATACTTTATAAAGATTGTATACGCAATCAAATCACTTGATAACTCAATGTTTAAACAAAAATTAACAAATTTATCTCCGAATAAAGAAATTCCGAAATTTTCTTAACTATACCTAACATTATTATGCTGAAATAAAGTTGAAAAATTCTGTCAACTTTTAAAACAAAGTCTAACAGCCACTAATTATAAAATTCATACAATCTTTAAACAACAATTGTAATTAATACTAAGCTGTAAACAAATGTCGGTGAAATCAAAATCATCGTCGTGAGGTCTTCCTCTGACTCTTTTTCTTTTTTTTCCTGTTTGGCTTTGTTTTCTCTGCAAGCAAATGCGAAACAAGGTTAAACAGATAAATGAACAAATGACAAGAATAATATACAAACAAACATGAATTGGTTATACATCTTTGACGCACATTTTTAACGATTAATTCCATATACATGGAGGCCATGCATCACGCATTTGACGCACATAATCATAGAGATTCGCACAAGCAGTATTTATACCGGGTTGTTGTGGTGTCATCAATATTTAATAGGCATTACGCATTATTACCATAACTGTCCTCAGCAAATGTTTCGGCTTACAGTCTGGGTGACATTAAATAAAGGAAATATTATGTTAAACATACCTCTGATATCGAAAGTGTATGGTATCTTGTTGGATTGTTTGCAACTTTGCACATTTGCAGTTACGGACAGCCAATGTTTATCGACCACATCCTGTGGCTTCATAGTGTTGCGGTGCTGAGTGTCGTGATAAGCTTTGTGCAAATTGTAGGTTCCCCTGCGGTGGTTGTTGTGAGGATTGTAATAATGTTTGCACGTTCCACTCTTCGTTTTAATTTTTAATTGTAGGTGCGCCTATTTATGTTAACCAATAATTGTAAGAAAACGTTTACAAAATTAGATAAACAATTCTATAAACAATTTTAAACACCAACTCTTGAGTTAGAACATTCTTCTTTATTTTGATGATGTTGGCAGATGCATTGTGAGATAGGATGTACTGACCCGGGTTCAACCTGCTCAAAAGAATGTTTCACACATTAGCTCCTCTCATTGTCAATGTCGTTTGTAAATCTTCATCACAGTTATATATCTTAAAGCATCTAAGCTTAATCTTCCTGCTCTCCAACTAAGCAAAAACAAATTTATGAATTGAGTCAAACCAAGTTCAAAGTTTTATGCAACGAGTGTTTAATTCTAATGCATTTGTTCAACGCCAAAAATTGCAAGAAAGAAACATTTCATATGTGGGTATTCGAACGTAGCTTTATGATTTCAAACATCAATGAAAAGATTCATCATTTGATCAGAGCCCACACAAGTAAAATGTTACCTAATTATTATGGATATATTATGATAAGCAAAAAAACATATAACGCCCAACAATGCACTAACCTTTTACACTTCTCAAGAATAGCTGACAGTTGATTCAAACTTTTACTGCAAGAAGAGTTTCAGAATAAATTTTTTTAAAGCAAATCGTTATTTTAAAAATATATGCAACAGTAACAATTGAAAATGAAATTGACAAAAATAATTACAAAGTATGTTTGCATCGTTAAAAAAATTAGGGTTTGGAGTAACTATCGAAATAAATTGAAAATAATAGAAATCTGAACGCAAACGAAACTTGTACAATAAAGAAGATATTGTAAGAAAGTAATTTAGAAACGTTTGAAAAGAAGCGCTATAGAAAGATTTTTGATATCAGTTGTTGACAGAAATTGAGCAACGAAGTCATATAAAACCAGATCAGAAAACAAAAGAGTCGTACGGGTCAGTAGGCAGACAATACTTTAAGATTAGTTTGCAAAATGCAGAGTGAATGGCGCTAATTAAAACTGTGATAATGAGAAAGAGAAACTGGAAAACAAGAACCTGCAAAAAATGAATGGATGGTTTGGGCTAGAGTGGGAACGTTGAATTTAATAAAATTGGTCGAAGATAGAAAAGGATTTTGGAAATGGGTGAGAAACGTGTATGCCATCGGCCTTAACTATCCTTTAAAGAAGGGGTGGGCAAACTTTTTGCTGTGAAGGCTGCACTGGAAACTATTTTATGTTTGGAGGGCCGCATATATTAATATATATATATATATATATATATTTATATTTATTTATTTATAAAGATCACTGCGTTTTCGGCATTATTCAACTTGTAGTTGAGTTTCTCAATTTTTCTAACGAGACTTTTATCATCTTGATGAAGTTTATTAAGGCTAAATAAAAAACTTTTAATATTTGACATTTTT